CAGATCCTGTATCTAATGGCAACAATGGCAACAAAAGCTCGAAAGCCACCTCTTGGTCCATTTAAGTCATAAAAGTCAAACCTGCAGCTGTAAAACAAACATGCCTGTGTTTGCATTTAATATAGGAGAGAAAGTTGTACATGGCTATCATCAAAGTCAAAATGAGCTTGAATAAAATTAGAAATACCCTTGTTGTCAATGAAGACATAGCCATCAAATCGATCCCTAAAGAGCAGGATATCTTCAGGGTTTTTAAAATTGATGTAAGCTCTGGAGAACAGGTGGGGGTAGAGGCTGTGAAGAGAAACAGGAACAGAAATAAATCAAAAACATATATTGAGATAATATTATTTTACATCAGAAATTTATAAAGGTTGTCATACCTCTGATCTGCTGGGAAGAACTCAAAATAGTCGTAGGACGGAAGTGGACTGAGCTGTTCTTCTAGCTGGTCCTTTGACAGGTTGGGTGGGAGCCTCCGAATCACCACCTGTAAACAGTCATTTGTCTCCTGATCAGCAAGAACTGCAAATAATGGTGTATGTCTGTGAGAAAAGTACTTCATGTTTTAGCCTCTAAGTATCCAGGCCTCACTGAAACACTAATCAGATACTGACATACACAGTCTGCAAAAAGAAGCTTTATATTGTTCTCTGTGACTCCCAGCAGAGCCTAAACATCAGGGCTGTCTTGGATTTGGTTCAAAATTAGGCAGTCTACTTTGAAAGATAATCCTATCAGGGAAGGAGTGGAGAAAACACTACTGAGCTTAACTATGAATAATGAAGGATCCAGTATTTTAGGAATACAACAAAGTCTGGTGATTCATTTAAGTCTGGTTAAATTCATTTCATTATTTAACTTCTGGTACTTAAAAAAAATAAAAAAAATATAGCAAACGTATTTTGTGCATCCAAATTTAAATGTAAGTATCACCTATAGCTTAATATTTTAGAATAAAAATACAAAAAAAAAAAATACAATGCATACAGTGCATTTTATCAAGTAGTGCAGATTTATAAAAATATGTCAATCAGCATTTACAAACATGGAGTTGTGCTTGTGAATATTCAACTTGAATCAAAATCAAACCTAATTTAAGTGACGAAACAATGGGGAAACTGTATGTTAAGGGGCTGGACACAATACAAAACGCTAACATGTGTGTGCACACACATTGTAAATGCATAACTTTGGTTTCTGCACATGGTCAATACAGCCGTCCTCAAATGACAAAAGTAATAATAAAAATTAAAGGAGAATCATGACATTGCTTTTGAATGAAATGAAAAATACTTTATTCATCCCAGAAGGGAAATTCAATATTTTATTTTTTTTGAATTGTGGTTCAACAGAAATATATATATATTTTAAAAAGTAATCACTGCAACCAAGTGTTTGCTGTAACTCTCAGTCAGACTGCTCTACCTGTTGACAGGTATTTTCATTTTGGCCCACTGCTCATCAGCAAAGTGCTCTAATTTGTCCGGGACAGTTTTTTTGTTTGTTCTTTTTAAATTATTCTTTTCAACCACAATTCAAAAGCAATGTCTTATTTCACTAAATTGCAATTTTTATTTATTATTACTTTTTTTTTAGTTTCTAGTTATTTGAGTGACTATTGTGAATTTTGCCTTTACTTTAATGGAAGGGTGTGAATATATTTGAGGACGACTGTATGTCTGACATGATGTACACACCAAACATTTGATGCATTATATAGTGGAATAACTGCTAAAAAAATGACTGTTTGTTGCAGCATTACTCAGATTCCCCTGATACCTACTAGAGAAATGTGTTTTTTTGAGGCTATATAATGTGAAATGTTGGTGAAATGTATTTAAACTATCGACGATACAAGAGCATGGAGTGGATGAGCAGTGAGGATCTTCTGTGGTCGGTGTTTTCTGTGCTCCTGGGAACGTTACCTGTAACTGTCATCTTCAGGCACAAACGAAAACATTCGCTACATCAAATAAAGTGTGTCAGAGATGTGAAATGTTGGCCGACAGGAGGTCGGAGGTGAATCCAGCTCCCGTCGCTGTCCGCGGTGCTGAAACTCACCGCTGCCTCCGTGTTTCCTCCATGTCTGTTTTCTACGCAGCGTAAATACCGCGACACACCGCCAAACACTCGGCTACCTACCTTTGTAAAAACCTCTTTCTTCTCTTCCTTCTGCTTGGGGTTACCAGGAATGTTCTCCTGCTCTCTTGGGATGTCCCTGAACTGAATCTCGACGACACCTTTCTCCTTGCCCGCCGTCATCTGGTCCTTTTCAGACCTCATTTCTCTCCATCTCCGTCTCCGCCGACGCGTTAAGACACCGAGTTCTCGCGAGAGTACGGTGATATCGCGAGTGGAGAGACATTGAAAAGAACGGCTTGGTTGTGTGGACTTCAACAGTAAACATACAGTAAAAAAAAAAAAAGAAGAAGAAAAAAATGCTATTTTAATTGTTTTGCATGGCTATCTGATTGTTTTAAAGTATAAGTTACTCTTTAGGGTTGAATTAAAAATTCTGATTGATTTTGTGGCACATTTTGTCAGTTTTATCTCTCCGCAAAAACCTCCCCCCCACCACCACCAATGGGTTTCCTAGTTAAATAACATAAAAACAAAAGCATATTGATACAAAAACTAGTGTCTTTATATTACAAAATCCTTTCATGGTTGCATTAGAAATGTTATAGAGATGTTTTTATTCACCACTGGTTTTCCTGGTTAAATAAAGTTAAAATAAATAAATAAATAAATGCATAGTAGCATACTTTATGGATGCATTAGAAAGACTATTGAGCATTTCATAATCGCCTTTTTCTTTAAATATGATTTTGGGAAACATTTTATCAGTTTTGTGGCCCTGCCGATACTAAAGAAATGTTTTTGTAGGTTTTTTAAAGAAGAAAATATTGTTATTATTACCATTGGTTTGCCAGGTTAAATTAAAAAGGAAAAACAAACGAATACTAATAGAAATGTTATGCATGATTGTATTATCGCTTCCCTCTTAAAATCTGATTTTGACACATTTCGTCAGTTTTATGTCTCTCTTCACTATTGAAAGGGAGATTTTTAATCAACATTGCTTTTCCTGAATTGAACAGAGTTTAAATAAAATAATAACAAATCACATACTGACTTCAAAATATCTATTTTTTGTGACACAGTTGTCAGTTTTACGTGCTTTTGTAACTATTGAAAATTAAATGTTTATTCAACACTGGTCTTACAAGTTAACTAAAGGCTGAATAAAATAGAAAAAAATGTTTATCTGTATTACACAGGACTCCTTTATGTTTGCATTAGAAATGTTATCCGTGATTTTGTAATCGCTTGCAATCTGATGGAAATTACTTTTCTCTCTCTCTCTCTCTCTCTTTTTTTTTTAAATCAACGTTGTCTTCTTGAAAAAATAAAGGCTAAAAAAATGTATGTTGGGGAGAAATAAGAGTAAAAGTGTATGTATTTATCTGTCAGTGTTACACTACTGTGTGTATATATTTTAAGCCAAAAGGGCGCGTCAGATTTCGTCCACGTATGTCACATGACCTTCATAAATGGTGGTGGAGCTGTTTTATGAATATAAAGTAAGAACCATTTGAACAATAATCACTTTTTAGCGACAGATCCACATCAACTTTGTGGAAGGATCCATAGCTGACGTCCCCAAAAGACCATACTCCAACACAATCTTCTACTGCATCACTGCGTAAAAGCTTTTGGGAAAGAAAGTTGTAAAAAATAAACAAATAAATAAACCGACTGTCACTTGTTGTGCCAAATGTCTATATATTCCAGTGTCACTGTGTAACAGCAGGCTGGAGGCAGCTGTCAGAGTCACTGTGCAGCTCTGAAGTCGGGCTGCGGGGCTTCATGCTGCTCTGAGCCGGGCAGGACGCGCTGCTGCCGGGAGAGACGCTTCCAGCAGGGCTCCACGATTCATTGTAGGAAGACTGGCTCACTGACCGTCCGTGGACATCTCTGCAGGGAACTGGGGGGTGAAAAAAAAGGTCAACAAACAAACCAACTCTCCACATAGACGTGGAGTTACCACAACAAGGTAATATGCTGGAATCAAACTGACATCTTCCTTGGGTAACCAGAACAAGAAACACAAAGGTGGAAGCTTTATCAGATTTTCTGAACTGACCACAAACTCACCATTGAGAAGGGTTTGCTTGCCGCTGCTGGTCTTCACACACAGCCGAGGTCCCTCTGGTGTCGACACGGAGCTCTTGAGGCTGGGGACGAATGTGGAGCAGGTGTCCAGGTCGCGGCATACGCGCTCGTTGCTGTAAATACCAGCCGACTTAGACGGAGTGCAGCCCATTTCTGCTGCATTTACTACAGCCGCTGGTACACAGAGGACTACTGTATGTGATGTGGTTGTCAGACAGAGGATGGAGAGGAGAGACCTCCCTCCTCCCCTTAACCTGGATGTGACATTGAGCGGATGCTCTGCTGTAAGGCTGCTGTCTCACACTGCATAGGATGTTTTTCTCTGGAGGGTTGGGATTGTTCCTGATCTGCAGAGGACTTAAAATGAACTTCTGCCATCTACAAGACACAGAAGTTGACACAATGCTAAATTTATATAGTAGGATAGCTGTTTCTAATAGCATTTACCTAGTAAGGTTTGTTTTAAATTAAAACAATGAAAAATGCACAATATTTAAGCATTTCTTTAACCTGCTTTGAGTGATATCAGGTTTAATTTTGCACCTACTCCAAGGTGCAATGTGCAAATATCACCATTTTTACAGCACATATGTGACAAAAGTTACTTAAAAATTCAAAACCTTTTTTTGCTTTAAATCAATATTTGGTGGTTCACGATAACTCGTGTTTGTGTGTACATCTACATCCCCCATCTAACAGCTTGACTTTTGTCAGTCACTCACAAATAATACAAATTCTCAGCTTTTTTGCCACAACACCTTGTGTTCTGTGGGGTTTTCTAAATCACTTTATTCTGAATAAGACAAAAAACAGATACACTATTTTTTAAAGATAAATGCATGGTTTATTGTACGAATAACCAAAAATGTTTTTCACCAAATTGCGTGTATTTAGCTGGCTCTTTATTAAAGGTGAAAATCCACAGGTTAAGCAACACGGAGGGTCCTGCCACAGGCAGCAAGAAGTGACGGCAGTCTTTCGATGTGAGGTGTGGGGCTGTGTTTGCTCAGTTCAATCAAGTGTCAGAGGACCACATGTTTCCAGTGTCTTAACCCAAGGTCAAATGCTCATCCAATGCTAAGCCAAGTACTCAGTCCCTTAACCAAGGCACATGTCAATTCCCCTTTTAAAGTGCATTCTTGCTAAATCAATATACTATACAGCAGGTGCTGTATACTAATCGCCCACACTTACACAACGTTCACAATTGCATTCTATGTTTTGTCACTTAAAGAAACAACCATATAATGCACAAAAGGGGGGAATCCACAGGAAACCTTTGATGGAGGACAGGTGCTAAATTTTCTTGCTGAATGTTGTCCTTGGGATTGGATATGTGTGCCTATGACAACCTGTTGTTAAGACAGTTCCACCTCCCGACAGGATGAGATCATGTGCTGGTGTCCGACAAAGTGTCCAACATCACGTCGCTCTCATACATGTCGCACTCCAGGGTTAACGAGAGTCGAAGAGGAGTTTCCAGCATCATCTTGTCTTGATTTGACAGTGGCGTTTCCAAGGACGTGATGCTTGTGTCTTCCAATCTTGGCGTAGCTAGAAGGTCACTGGGCTCTGATGTGTTCAACATCTTCATCAGTGCTGGAGTGTTCAGGCTGCCTCGCACCTTGTCATTGATGTCTGTGCCTTAGTGGAAACAATTAACAACACATTATTTTCTGCGAGCCAGACACAACATAACTAGTCTGATTACATTTATGCAGTTAAGAACAGATAAGGAATTTTTGCCACAAAAAAAAAAAAAAAAATTGGGGGGTAAAGCTATTACCCCTTTATTTAGTTCCCAGTTGCACCACTGGAAATGCAAGCAGGGGAGTTGTGTGTGTAAATGCATCTCAAGACTAAAACACAAATTATTTTGTATAATACAGCATTCTAAACAAGTTTTGATTATCTCATTTTACAAGCCAACACTACAAAAAAAGATCAGGTATAATTAAACAATAATAATAATAATAATAAATCAATTGAAACATGCCTGCAGCTCTTCAGAAATGAGGAGTATTTAACAATGATGTAAAAAATACTAGCACATTTACTCAGTCAGCAAAGTTCAGCGCACTGAAAGTTCAGGCAGGGATTTTAATGGGGGTAAAGCTATTACCCCTTAATTTAGTTCCCAGGTGCACCACTGGAAATGCAAGCAGGGAAGTTGTGTGTGTAAATGCATCTCAAGACTAAAACACAAATTATTTTGTGTAATACAGCATTCTAAACAAGTGTTAATTATCTAATTTTACAAGCCAACACTACAAAAAAAGATCAGGTATAATTAAACAATAATAATAATAATTTTTACATAATCATATTTCAAATATAAAACCTACCTATATAGGCATCTGTGTCACCAATGTACATCTCAATGCAGTGACCAAGCATCGTCACAGAGAAAGTGTCGTCCCTTTTTAGTCCTAGTGCCTGTCACAGACAGAAAAAAAACATTTAGCATTTTTTTTTAAATAAAAGAAGAACAGAATATTTTTAATATACAGGAAATTTTACACTTATCGTCTGTCATTTCTGAAGTGATATTGGGTTGGACACATTTGAGGATACAATTCACAATAAAGTGCTGTGCCATGGTTACTCCTATTCCTGCTCCCATCTACGATGTGAGTGGTCCTTCCTAAACTATGTCAATCACTGTTAAAAGCCCATTAAGCTTGAAGAAAGCGAAGAAGCTCAATCTCTTCAAAACCTACTGTATGAAAGTAGTCGATGGCACTTTCAAAGTCTCCCATGAGGCTGTGCACGTATCCTATGGCGGCGTAGGTGGACGCGTGCTGAGGGATTAACACCAACGCCTGACGGTGGTACTCCAGAGCCTGGTCGTACTTTCTACAGAAACAAACATCGTAATACAAAAAGGTATTAAGCATGGATTCAATAACATTTCACAAGCTGGTTTTGCAGAAATATGTCAAAACACATCTTAATCAAGAGTGCATTAAAAAAGAAAAAAGATTTAAGTAAAATTTAAACCTGACTAATTCAAATATTTTGTGCAATACAACAAACTTTCGGCTCAGTGTGTAATATCATTCTGCAACTTCACCCATAATATAAGCATTTCTTTCAGTTTTACTGATTGGGAATAAAGTTGTGAATGAGGCACTCCATAGTTTGATAATAGGTTAATAATGAAAAAACAGTATTGTACATGCACAAACTCAACATAACACTTCTGGCATGGACTGTACCTATGTTAAAATGACAAGTGAGCAGACCTCCAACAATAGTTTGTAGCAGGCAAGTGGAAAAAGCAATTACAAAGTAGAGGAGAGGTCACTCTATGATTCGCCTCCCACACTTTATAATACAGTCGTGACTTGATAATCCGACACTAAATGGAAAACCTTCTTTTATGTCGGCTAGCAAGGCTGTCAGACTGTCAAGATGGAGGTCGAGATACAAGGAGGGCTTGATGCTTGAAGGGTAATTTGATGTTAATATGAATTGTTTATAGTTGTTGTAATAAACTATCTACATGTATGATATGTAATTTCAGAAATTTCTCTGAGGTCTTCACCGAAGGGATCAATAAAGTTCTATTCTATTCTATTCTATTCTATATTGTTATGATTTCTATGACACAAAATAAACTTGTTAGATACAATTTTACATATAATAGTATCGAAGCAGTTTGTTTCTATGATTGATAAGCCCGATACAACCACAGTACATATAGGTTCATAGAACTGTTCAGGTGTCAAAACATGTCACGTTGTTTAATACTTCAAAGAACTTCAGTGCACCAAACCTATCCTTCCTGTGTTCCACACATGTAGAGTTGTTTGCTAACAAACTGATGCAAACCAACTTAATTAGTTGGGCAAACTCACTCAATGAGTGGAACTAGTGTATTGTTAGAACACTACACATCACTGGATTTCACGCGTAATTGACCGGTGCGCTTGTGCATGGGGGTCGGTTGACATCAAAGTTAAGTAAATCTGTCGGATTGTTAAGCCAGATAATACGCTGTTATCCTTATTTGTGACATAAAATGTCATGTAGGAGTCGGAATCCAAGGCTGTTGATATGGTAAGGCTATTTTTTATGGGTTCTGTTCGTTTTTCCTAAAAACCTGTCGGATAGCAAGGTTTTTGGATTGTTAAGGGTTGAATTATTGAGCCACGACTGTACAATGTAGAGGACAGGGCACTCTATGACTAGTCTCCCACACTTCATAGTACTACACGTGCTAATTGAAAGACCATGAAATCCACAATGCAATTTAGCAAGGTAATTGGATTTCTTTTTGATTATTTACATTTTTAAAAAAGATAGCTCCGTAAACTTCTACTTACTTCAGTTTCCGACACACGTGACCTAAGTTGTTTAACAAAGGCTCCCACTTGTCCACAGTGACCTTAAATTGAAAGAAAAACAGCAAAATGTTTACATTGGGTGATATTTCAGAGAACTAGTCATGGTTTCAGACATGCACCACACTGACATTACCAATTAAATAAATGAACTGCTACCTCATTGCCTATGGCTTTGATCTTCTCCATTGCATCAAGAAACAACCTTTCTGCCGTCTTCCAGCTGAAACGGTAGACGAGGAAAGCATTGTTACACCATGTCTAAGTATTTTTACATAACAAACCAGATATAATGTGTGTATGTAATGGTTGAACTCAGCTTTACACAATGTATTATGAATTACTCATATTTGTGTATACACATATTTGACTGGCTTTCTTTAATCTGGATCAGCACCCAGATTACATAAAAAAAAGCCCACACACATTTTGCAGATAGTTTTTTTTTTTTTGATTCAGCACCATTTTTAGATCTCTATCTCTGTGCTTTGTACTGTTTCTCTAATAAAAAAAAAAATAAACATAGCTGAATGGAGACATGATTTTGGCAGTCACAGCATGAACAAATTACAGTTCACAAACCTCACTGTTAACAGTATTCATAGAGACTATTCCATCAGATGGAACAATTTCAACGCTGGTAGTTGAATAAGTGTGTGGGTTACATAAATTGTAGTCCTTTTGTTTAATCTCTCTGCCAGCTCTTAAACTATCAGACAAAACACAGCACACAGCGCTGCTACAACAACTACAATTAGCACCCAAGCCAACCAGTCAAGTTGCAGTTTACATGTTTCACTCCTTCTGTTACTGACGTATGGTGCTGAGTAATGGCCATGAAGTGTTTTAGCAGAACATTATGATGTCAAAGTGAAGCTGACCTTTTGTCATAAGTTTGTAAATTCCTGAGTTACAGACCAAAACATTCTCTGAAGGTGTTCAACCCATATTACATCCATAAATTGGACGTACAGACAAACTACCCGAAGACCTAACACCACCAGCCACAACTCCCACCAGTATAGAGGCACCAGAGCAAGTTAACCCAAAATAGTGTTCAATAAAAAGTAAAAAAGCTGCTCCTCACTTTGTCAAACAAGTCATTAGTCACTGTTGATATTTGCTTGCATAGATATTTTTCTGACCTCCAAGTCTGTTAAAATCAGCTTTCACAAATACCAACAACACCCATTTGTGCTGCCAAGAACATTTATACTACTACTAGAGGAATGAGTGTTATTGTGTGTTTGTGACTGCATACTCACTCTCCATTTTGAAATGCGACCACTGCCACCTCATGTATGACAAATGGGTCCTCTGGAGCGATACTAAGAGCCTGGCTGAAGAAACGCTCTGCCAGCTTGGAGTTGTTGGTCAGACCATACTCCAGCCCGATGTAGAGCATTGGTAAGTGACATCTGAGTAATAGAGAGCAGGAGACATCAAGACCTACGCTTATCTTGTCCTATGTTTTAGTAAAATGCAATAAACACATCTGAATTTAGGACACTTAAAAAGTAAAGTCAAATTTAAGTAACCGACTTCACATTTAAATACAGTTATCTTTACCAGTCATTTCTAACTATAACTAACTCAACTTCAAAGCCTCTCAAGTTCTTAAAAAGGTTCAAGAAGTCAAAAGGGCAGTACTCCACACCTGCTTTTGTTGGCATATTTTCATGTTGCAGATCTGAAACGCTCATGTAAAGAAAGGAATGTTCTAATTAAAAGAAGCTATCAACATAACACTATTACTAATCTAAATGATATAACTATAAAAGCATAGAGAAAGACTAAAAGTCATTCACAGGAGTAGCAACATCTTGTTTGAGCTGAATACTATGAGCAGGTCAATAGGAGGTTTTTTAGCCAACTGTTGTTTTTCCTCCTATAAAGGAAAAGCCTTTATACCTCTCCTGTTTGCATGTAATGTGCCAAACATAGAGCAAAAATAGAATTATGATAACACGATTGGTGTTCCAATAATAGTGGGAATATTTTTTTTTTTTTTTAACCCATAGCCTGTGCCTGTACAATCTCCATCACTTCACATAACAACTTAGCTGCAGTGCTCAACTGTAACTATTCAGAGGACAATTGTTAAAGAGATCACATTTTTTGTGTTGAAGCTCCATTCTGTGAGGTCTATATCTCTTATCAGTCATTTACCTACCCTTTCATCAGCTGAGCAGCAGTGAAGTAGGCAGCCATGGCTTGGTCGTGCTCACTCTCCACTGCAAATGAGTGACCGTAGGCAATCCAGGCAGGACCGTAAGTCCTCTCCAGGGTGGTGGCTTTGCTACAGTAGATATACAATAACCGCTCTGTCTTAGTGAACAGATAAATAAAATGCCACTTGCCTAGTATCAAACACGATGTGTTTCTCTTTGAGAGCACCAATACATACCTTAGGTATCGACGAGCGTGCTCGTTTTTATGGCCAACCATGAGATAGTAGCACCCAACAGCAAACCAGGATACCTGGCAAGAAGTTTTTATTTGGTTATCAAAAAACAAACAGTTATGTCAAAAAGGTAGAACAAAATCATATATAACAAAAATATAAAAACACTTACTGGGTTGTTGGGATACAAGTCTACAAGTTTGTGTGAGAGGTAAAACAGCTCTGCAGGGAAATAAGCAGTTAAACATTAAACTGATTGGCAGGCCATACAATCAAACTAAGCATTTTGGCATGAATTAATCTTTATGAATATGTATATTTATTACCATTTGCTTTTCCAAGTTCCACCAACGTTCCTATGTGGACTGGTAAACAGTTGGCATGGAAGGGGTCTTTAACCATCACCCTGAAATACAAAGAACAACTTTTTTTTGCATCCACTAATCGACAAAGAACTGTATATCATCAATCAAACTTAACACAAATATAATCTGGTGTATGTTGAAAGAGTAACATCTACTGTTTATTTGATGGTTAACTTAAGATTCATATATAGAAGTGACTTTACTCACTAATGTAAGGTAGGAAAAACACTGCCGTAAAATTACACATTTTACACTTAGCTGATCATCACAGCACAGACAAACAGCTCACAGGCCAAAGGTTTACGTTTACCTCTGAGCTTTCAGCACAGCTGCTCTCTCATTTTTTTTGCGAAATAATTCAACCCATTCATCAAATACAAATCAACAACAAACTACGCTGAACCTGTGGACACTTACATTGATGTGAGTTTGTAGCACATCTTGAAATCACAGTTATAATAATGCCTCTCAGCAAGAGACACCACTACATCCAAGTTGTCCTGAAGACCATTGACCATCTCTGGCACCACCAAATCACTGGGCTTGTTATACTGCAGAGGCAGGAAGAAGCAGAGTGTGTCAGTGTTAATGTGTGTCTGTCAAAGGCTCAAATGTGAGCATGTCGGAAAAAAGACAAACAAAAGGGCTTGAAAAGAAACAGAGGAAAGAGGCCCATGAAGAGGTGATAGGATAAAACAAGACCACAATATCCATAACATGAATTTGCATTTCAATTATATGAAAAAAAAACACAGAAGAGCACAACATTGTTGTTTGCGCTCTGTCAGTTCAAATTAAACAACAGCATCCATGCTCATTACAAACAAAGAACACGTCATTTTTAAAATGTTTTCAACAACAAGAGGAAACCTGTGTGCCTACAGTACAGACAAACAACCTGTATTAGACTTTGACGGGAAAGACCAAAATGTGTGAGCAATATCAATTCACTGTTGGCCTTGGTCCTTTCATTGGATATGTTTGTAAAAGGAAAATACACAATAACACGTTCATAGTTTTAAAACATTGTGCTCCTCTTCAACAAACTCACATCAGTCTCACGTGTGTCTTTCAATTTTTCAGCTCAGAATACTACAAAGATGGTTGATTTCATCATGACTGTATAACCCGGTTCCTTCCTTCCCTCCTCTATCAGAAACCAAGGAAAAACAGCTGACCGTAATGCAGCTGAGGCCAGTGAGTGAGACCAGGATTTTCTATTGCTTCTAACTCTCTCTGAGCAAATATCTGACATGGAAATATCACTACATTCACAGCACAGCTTGGAAATGGCTATAACGTGATGGGAGGTTACCATGTGGTCCTAATGGGCTGCGCTTTACTCACTGTTTCATACTTGTTCTGTTGTCTGACCACAGAAACAGACAATTATATACAGAGAACATTTGTATTGGTAATTTGGCTGGTTTGCAATGCAGTTTATGTGAGCAAAGGGAACAGGCTGGAACAAACGGGTATAAACACTGGCTAAGTTTAGGTTGCACTGACGCACAGCAAGCAACCTGAAAACACAGTAACCCATCCAATTGTTGTTGTTCTTTTGAGTTTTCACCATCTCTGAACGTCCCTCAGCATTATAATTTGTGCAGAGCTCTGACTTGTGGGAATATGATCAAAGTTATTTGTAACATTAGCCACATTAGCTGCACAACATGCTAATATGAAGGATTTACCTATTGTTGTGGTGCCATCAAAATAAAAGTAGTCAGATGGGGGTGGCTAGTTATGGGCCAGTTGGAGCAATAGTAGAAGTAAACGTCTTCATATCTGCAACTTTCAGCCATCAACAGCTTTTAGTTCATACCTCCCAGTTCACACCTCCCCATATGGGACCACATTAATAATGAGAAACATTCGTTATTTTTCTCACTGAACTTAAAATGTAATAAACAGGATGCAGACCTACCTTCTTTAATTTATTCTCAAAAAGGAAGTGTAGCAGCTCCTCCTCTTCCTCAGTGCACTGTTGACTCAGAGGAAGCGAATCAAGGAAGTCTTTCTCTGTTGAAGGACAAATAACAGGTTCAAATATAAATGTTATTTAAATGTTGCCAAAAAATAAGAGCCACATATCTGTAGAAACAGAAACAGATCAGTGTGCATCATCCACACAGATCGGCCTCACCTTCCTGTGCAGTCAACATATGGTGGGACGTTAAAAGGTCAAAGGCTTCAAAGCAGTACACATCCAGTTTCAAGGCCTCTTTGTAGCTGGAGGTGGCCAGTGGCCTGTTGTCCATGGCATCATAGATCTTACCCCGCAGGAGACAGATGGAGCTGCTGATCTGAAAAATTTCAGGGAGAGAGGAAAGGAGAACAGAAAGAAAACTTAATGTCCATGGCATTACTCAGAAATCTAGGTAGTGTTAATACGCGATTCACAACGTTAACACAAGTGGACAAATATTTGAAAGAACTCTCACATCCTGAAGTGAAGGACACGATATGCCAACAGCACATGATGTCATTTAAACTGTCTGCCTAAAATCAGAAATATACTGCACACAGCTGGTATTACAATGGTTTTTGTTATGTATCTACATCTAGACTATCTACATCCAGACAAAGACAAGAAGAATTTTGGGCAGGTGAACTCCATAACATAGAAGTCAATGCAGATTATCATATCAATTGTGTAGTAACTTCACATCATCAATAAATCCCTCTTTCATTAAAAAAAAGCACAATTATGTCATACATGACTTGTGGATGAAATCTAGTTAATTAGACAGAGCTTAAAATAATAATAAGAAAAAGGAGTTTGCAGGGACTGCATATGCATCACTGCATTTCAATTTGAAGATTCTGAGTATGTCGCTCTCTATGGTGTAAACACAAATTAAGGTTCAAAATTGTGAATGTATTGTTTCTATCAACAAAACAAACAAAACTGTGATGGGAGAGTTTGTGGACACAAGAACGACAGATGGCTGAACAGTATGGGCACTAAAAGAAAATTAATTAGCACGGTACAACAACATATTTGCAGTGACAGTCGAGAACAAAAATACTTTTGATGTGGATTGTTTGGAGCAGACCACACATTCTCTCCAAAGCAACATTACAGAAATATGCTGACTTCGAAGATTAGTTCACCCAGCACTAACAATATTGCTATATTTCAATCCAAGCCAAGACTTACTGAGGCAGGGGACATATCCCAGTCCTTGGCTGACTCTGGTGTCCCATTGTCCTCCTTTCCACTCCTGTCCAGCAGCTTCTTATTAGCTGGCTCCTCTGCATCCAGGATATCCAAGGCCTGTTGGAACTCTTTGGCAGCATACTAGGATAAAGTAGAAAACAAATGAATCTAAAGCATGAACAATATCTAGCAGGTTTTTTGAGACGAAACATGTAAAGGAGTGATTAGAACTGATGTAATTATGTATTACTTACATGGCACCTAGCAGCAAGATACTGACAAGCTCCATACAGCTGTGTGAGAGAAGACAGATGTTGTTATAGACTGCAGACAAACATAAAGGTAATTATGCTGCCAGCTTTTTCTGTTATTGGTTTAACTTTGACTTAAATACCACACACACACATCTATCACATAGTGATTTGCATTATAAGGTCAACGTTTATTTATCACTTCCCAGCAGACTGTCACACAGCTCACACTGAACCTACCTTGTCAAGTTTTCGTGAACGGAGGGCATGGGAGGCTCTGTGGTACTGTGAGGTTAAGTAAAGGCACTGAGCTAGCCAGTAGATGTCCTGGGGATCCTCTGTGTGCAAAACAAAGAAGCAGAAAATTTAAAGTGTTATAAATGAATCTCTGACGGGTTTCGCAGCATTGAACCTGTTGAGATGTCACTGTGTTATCTGCTATTACTGCTGGTAAGTTTCCTTTCAGTTGTGATGGTAGGTAGCAATGGGAAAACAAGCACAACGCATGGAAACTCCACTAATAAACCACTAAACCTACTAACAACAGATGAATATGACAGGTTAAGTAACGCCACGCTTCTATATTAACAAGCCATAAACAGTGTTGTCGTTATTTACTCACCATGAGAAAGAGATGCTATCTTGTCGGCCCAAAACAGAGCACTTTGATACTGTTGCTGTGAACAAACACACAATAACCAAGAAAAAAACAGTCAAATTCATAGTTTGTATCATTGTTGGTTAGCTGCCTAGCGGTTAGTTTGCTAGTCAGCTATGAAGGTTTGTTACCACTGACGCTATGTTGCTGCCAAGCTAGCATTAGCTAGCAGCACTGAAACTAACAAAGACGTCGTTTCTCTTACCTGGTCGATGTACTGCCGCACTCGCTTTCTAAGTCTGTCGAGATTCATTTTGATATTTTCAAAAACTGACGTGCTGACTATCAAAAGTGTGTCATTCTTGGAGACAGAGAAAGCTGTGCACTGAACAGTACGTGCTAACCTGCTAGCTGCGTAAAATCAAATCCGCGGCTTCTTTCTGCAACGAGTGTTCCGCTAAATGGCGCCGTAAAGAAACTCAACACGGTTAGAAAGTTCCGCATTTACTTCTGTAACTGTTGCCAAATGTCTTGATGTCAGAATAACTTTTGAAAAATAAAAACAATATTTGCGCATTTATTTGACCCCTCCATTTATTCTTTGTCACCAAAACAACAAATCACAAGTGAATTAAAGAATAAAACTTTGCTAACGGTGGTGGAGTCAAAGTACACCTAGTTAAGTACTGTCTTTATGTAGATTTTGAGGTATTGGCACTTTACTTGAGTATTTCCATTTTATGCAACTTGAAGCTTGAGTTATCTCATAGACACATTTTACACATTTTATACTTTTAAGCTTTTAAATACTATGTATTATCATAGATTAAACCAAAATTTTTATCTTCTGGCATCTTTCAAAAAGCAGTGTGTAGTCGAGGGCGTGTTTCAGATGTCTCCAAGTTGTTACCAGCTCCACCCAAAAGTGATTTTTCCCTCTAAACTTCTGACAATCAGTAAAAGCTCAGATGATCCCTTGTTCCCCAAAAACCTAAGTGTAGAGGAAAAGTCCATCCATCCATTATCTATACACCGCTTAATCCTCACTAGGGTCATGGGGGGCTGGAGCCTATCCCAGCTGACTTAGGACAAAGGCAGGGGACACCCTGGACAGGTCACCAGTCTGTCACAGGGCTACACTTAGAGACAGACAACCAAGTACACTCACATTCACACCTGTGTGTGGACAATTTAGAATCACCAATTAACCTCAAAATTTTTTTGGACTGTGGAGAACCCGGAGCCAGAAAAACTGGAGAGAACCCATGCTGCACAGGGAGAACATGCAAACTCCATGCAGAAAGATCCCGGTGTCCTCACTAGGACACGAACTGGCCACCTTCTTGCTGCAAGGCAACGGTGCTAACCACTGAGCCACCTTGCAGCAAGAAGGTGGCATCCAAAATTTAAAAATTATTTGTGTATCAGAACTTTGTTTCATCTTCTTTCCGCTCCCGTTAATCCCAACACCCTTCAAATTTATCTGGTTTCTCCGTAAATAAAACTTTTTAATTAAAACTAGCTCCACTTGCAACTACATGATGCTAATGTACTGATGCTTCAGAGTTATTGATCTAAACATGACAAAGTGAAGGATCTGAATACTGTTTCTATCACTGTTTGATGAAGCAACAGGGCATAATCCCACGATGCTTGTGGATTCCTTTTTGCATGTTTTATGTGTGTGAGAAGTGCTAGACATTTTAGACACATCAGGATCTAAGGACATTTTAACAGAACAAGGGTGGTTATTTTTTGTACTTTAATTGGTGTCAGAAGAACCAGGATTCTCAGCTGTATTTGCCGAGATGGATTTCTCAGGTACATTCGGTTTCGAGTCAAATTGTGCAGCTGACTCTTTGTGTACTTCTCCTCCTGCATCCTCGTTCTTATTGGTCTCCTTCCTCTTTTCATTTTGCCTAGAATCTGCTTTTCCATTCGCTTTGCTGCTTGCAGGGCGGCTGTGTGTGGAGGCATCAGTGCTTATCCTTTGTTCTTTATCACCATCAGTGCTCATCTCGCTGGGTTTTTCATGCCCCTGTTATTGACACATAGAATTAAGTATTTACACTGACTCTGTATCATACTGACAAACGAAAATGCAGACACAGTTTAAGAGGTAATTGTGATTCACTGTCTGTGGTACTTTGTCTGAAAAATATAAGAACCTTTTGCTGATTTGCTCCTCCTCGTGGATAACGTGCAATGCTGTCCCTCAACTTGAGGGTCTTGAGCCAGTCTTCATTCCAGCTCCTCGCGTGATAGTGAGGCTTGCACTTGCTCAGACGAAACTGGATCATTTGATTCTGCTTGGTGATACGGAGCAACTCCCTCTGTTGCCTCTCCTTGCTGAGGCTGCAGTGAGGAAACAAAGAAAGAAAGTTGAGTCTTTAGTTTCAAAAGCCACCTTATTTCTTGGAAATACAACTTGTTAACTGACCTTGAATACACACCATCCCAGTAATTACTGAACTGCTGCTGTGATTACAAAGCTAACCTTTTCTTGTCGTAGTCATTCCTGTTGTCAACTCTTCCAGTTGTCGCCATAATGTGTGATATTTTCTCCTTGAGCATGTTGTTTTCCCTCTGAATCCTTCTGGTCTCTTCAAGCTGAATGTGATCAAATATGAATGGAAAATTAATTTACACCTGAGGAGAAACCTGATAATTTTAATAAGACACCTAAAGAGAAAAGTGTTGTAGGTATTCCAAAAGATTATTGTTGCATTTTATCACTATATTGCATTTTACGTTGAATATAGGTTTAAAATTGGGTATTTATGGGAGTGTTCATTTCAGATTTGAATTGCTTGTGTTTTCTTCTTCACAAAACAACCTGTTTGTTCTTTAGATTCAGAGCCAGGTGATTATATTTCTTTGGTGGATCCATGCATATTGTTGGTTTCATTGACTTCACCTTGAGAAACAAACAAAGAACAAAACATAAACAGCTATGTGTTAGGCAGTGAATCGTGATAATACTATTTAGTACATAAATGGACAAACAAAATATTAATCTTATTAGCTGGTGATTGAAATAAAAGCTTGAGGTCACGACATTTAGAATCTGGGATAACAGGAACCAACAAACAAAACTGACAACGTTATTGAGCAACATTAAAAACCAAAGACGTGCTCCTCCTAACCTTTCTCCTGTGTAAGTCATACGCCTTCTCCCGTTTCTGTTGCAGGTATTTGTTTGTGGTGGAAAGCAGGAGTTTATAGTTCCTGTGCTGCATTATGAGTCTGGAAAGAGAAAATGCTACAAGGGCCTCACACACACCAGAAAAAGAAAAAACAAATACAAGTGTTTAAATTATGCAAAAATGTTCAGACTTAGTAATCAGAATTTAAAAAGAGAATATCCCAATTACCAGACAGAAATTGCTTCGTAACAGTTTCTTTAGATTATTGGAGACATAGAAATATTAATGAAATGCAATTGTTGCCAGTGTTGCAGTTTAACTGGTTGTCATGTTGTCTGGGGATGTTTTGTTTCCTTGTGTTTGTTTCCAGGTGTTAATAGATTTGCATTTTTTAAGAACAGTAGGCCAACCTATATGTGTCAGTGAACATTACACCTCATGCCCTCAGAAACACACAATATTTAACGATATAGTATTATGATTTTGATTAAATTTCATATACTGGTGGCACCACATTATCTATTACAATACAAAATATCAACAACTTAAATGCTCTTGCAAACTAGTCAAGTGCAGATTACAATGAATCATTTTAAATGAATTAAACCTTTATTGCAAACTAAAACACTAAATCATTCCAGCATACATATCCTCTAAACTTATGAAATATCCAACCAGATACATGCATATATGTAATCAACCAACAATATTGCCTAAAATATGTAGCATCCCGACTGTGACACAGCTGAAAAAAAGTCTTTGTCTGTTTTAAGCTGTTTATTTTTTTAAAGGTGGAATACTGTAACCTTTAAAAACAGTTACAGTGGTGAGAAAAACAACAAATAGCTGTAAAATAATGAGATTTTAGTTGATCTATATATAGTAAAATTGTTTAAATTTATGGACCAACATTGTAAAATTACTATTTGTAAAAATACAGATTTTAGATGTACACATTATGAAAACTTTTGGCCTATTTTATTAGTATCAACATGTAAATTAATGCTTTTTTTGGTGATTTTATTAGACATTATCTATATTTGCACAAAATCTGAGAAAATCTGTAAAATAAAAGTTTAAAAAAGTAGTTACCATTTTCAATCATTTTCATTCAAATGACAGCAAATATCTGTAAAATACTGCTATTAAATACAGCAACACAGTGTAATTATACAGTCACAAATTGCAACTGAACAAACTACTATTTGTCAAAAAAAAAAAAATCAAATAAATACAATTTTTTGATGTGGACATTGTTCAAGGTTGTGGCCTGGTTTTTATGGCTAATGAATGAATTTGTGGAATTAAGATTTCTTTTCTCTGATTTTACTAGATTGTATCTGTAATTTTCCAAAACAGGCAAATCTCTGTTAAATACTAGTGAATTGTAAAAGAAAACAAACAAACAAACAAACAAACAAAAACCCTGTTAATAACTGTGTAGTTTGGTGGGGGGTTAAACTGACCTCCTACACTCGTGACCATTTCTAAAGGAAATAACAATTTGGAAAGCCCCACAGTGCACGTAGACAGCATTCGTTCCTTCAGCGTGTTATGTATGAATTCCCTGAAAATCTGAATCTGTGTTTTTGAGGCAGCCATTTGTACACTACAGCTGTAAGGTGGAAATACTCAGTCATGGTGTTAACTACTTATTTTGCTCATGTTGTGCTGTTTAGTATCTAAAAACAACCCAAAACATATGGACACTTTAACAGGGTAAAAAACAAAAACATAAGGGTCTTTATGTAAAATGCATATCCAGGTCAATATTATACAAAATATGAAACATGCTGGACAAAAAAAATCTAGTTAATTTAATATAATGTCTGTTAACCGTTTCCATATTGTCTAAAATAAACAAACCATAAACAACAATCACCAGAGAACATGAACACCACTGAAACTGGGACACCAAGTTACAGAAAAATCAGAAGTGCTCCAAACAGCATGACACAGATATAAAAAAAAAACAAAAAAAAACTGACCAGCAAACAATTAAGAGAAAATGTCAGTTAAAAGAAAATGAGAAAGGCAGGAGCAACTGTAACAGGCTGCAGGTACAGTTTTGCTCAATGAAATGAAATGAGCCTTAATGCGTCTAACCCAGAGCCTGCGTCTCAGTGCTCCAGGCCTCTCTGACTCACCTCGCGTCTGTGGTCGTCCTGGTGTCTCAATATCACAACTCTTTATCTGCCCGAGAGAGTGCTTGGCTCTTCAGGTTTGCCCTGCAGTCTGTTTTGTGCCAGTCATACACGGTTGCCATGACAGCAGCTTGAGAGAGCAGAGATGAATGGTTTCAAACGATGTGCTTGTTTAGCAAGTTCCACACAGTGAAACACACACAGGCATAGAGATGGGCTAATTAGTGAGGAGACTGGAGCGAGCCACTGTAAAATGAGATGCTGCGAGAAGACACCGTTTCACACAATTCAAAGCTGAAAACGAGCAGCGACGGGAACTGGGTTTTCTGAATGTGTTCGTGCTATTGTAAACTGAAAAATCAAAAGAACATATTATTTTATGGACTCTGACCAGAATTTTCTGTTAGAGTCAGATGTCCATATTAAACAGCAGTGATTTAATCAAGCAGTGAGGTCAGGGGCCAGCAGGCTGCTCTAGTCTCCTACTTGCTGCTGGCTTGCCTTAGTAACAGTTACTTGGAAACTTGCACCAGAGCAACTAACTAACACATTAAGTACAAACACAAGTTGATCCCGGATCATCAGATACTCAGAACTGACATGGAAAAAATTAGTGTTATAAATGCTAAAAACGTTCCCATTGACCGAATACATGAACGCACATACAGTTGTCCTTAAAATATCCCTTTCCATTAACGAAGAGGCAACATTCACAATAGTCAGTCAAATAACTAGAAATTGAAAAAAATAATAATAAATATTCACCAACAGGTGCAGAAGTCTGATTGAGAGTTTTTTGTTTTTTTTAATTTTTAAAAATATTTCTGTTGAACCACAATTCAAAAGCAATGTCATGATTTTCATTAAATTTGTATTTATTTAGTCAATTTCACCTTATTTCAGTGACAGCTGTTTCTTTTCTTCTTTAATGGGAGGTTATGAATACATTTGAGGATGACTGTACATAAACATTATTATGTATTGTTATTATATTATCTCATTATCATGTGTAATATGTCACTGTTGTGTGTATAATTACTTTACAACCTTAGTATCATTGACATTATTGTTTTACTATTGTAGTCTTGTTTTTATCTTTTACATTAATGTAGCTTACTCATATCCTGCTGTTTTGTTGTTGTT